TTCGCGGGAGAAGTGTGATGGTTGAGGCGGAACGATTTCAACATAGTTCCATGTCGGGGTTACTGCTTTCCTCGACAAGTTGTTCAGGACATTGAAGTTGACGACTCCTACCTATGGAGACTTGAACCACTTGGTCTCCGCGGCCATGAGCGGCGTGACTTGCTGCTTGCGATTTCCAGGCCAGCTCAATTGCGATCTGCGCAAGATCGCCGTGAACTTGGTGCCTTTCCCGCGACTGCATTTCTTCATGACTGGTTTTGCGCCCCTGACATCCCGCGGCTCCCAGCAGTACCGCGCCCTGACGGTGCCGGAGTTGACACAGCAAATGCTCCCGGGCAGGAATGTTTCCGAGCTTTATGATCTCGATACGAGCCAGAGTTGTCGTGAGCATGCGGCGATGCGTTGATGATCTAGGTTCGATGCCAAGAACATGATGTGCGCAGCAGATCCCCGACACGGGCGATACTTGACAGCCGCCGCACTCTTCCGCGGCCGAATGTCCACGAAAGAGGCCCCCTACTTGCCCTTTTGATTCTTCTCATGCAAGTGGAGGGCGGGGTGAAGAGCGTATTCTCCGCGTCCGCATGCATGAGTATCATGATTACTTTTCATCGTGTCATCTCGACCCATGTCACATCCGCAGGTGGACGAGCAGATGCTTAACGTCCAAAACAAGAACTCCTCCTACTTTGTGGAGTCTTGCCTGCCTCGGTCGGAGCTAGTAGCTCTTATCATGCCGTGCCTGCTTGGTTGACCGAGCAAGGTTGATAGGGATTCAGGTTTTCACGTCGCTGGAACCGGTCATTTATCGTTGTTCGTGAAGAAAAGTGTTGACATTGTTGTCTAAACTTAGCCTGGCATCGGACCCTTTGTGAAAGTACAGCCTCGAGCCAAGAGGGTTCAAGCAGGACAGCTTGCCGTAGGAGTTCAAGCGCGGAGTCTTATGAACGTAGAGTGGAATCTGCAGGCATGCATGTGTTTCTTCTCTACTACGCTGCTTAAGGAGTGGATTCCCAACAACATCAAGGCGTCAGTTTGCGACATCCCACCGAAGGCGCAGCTCTGACGCCACTCTCTCTACCAGCGTAGACGTTTGAGATCGGGGCTATAGAGTGCGGCTAGAGAAGTGCGTACGGAGCGACTGCCATGCCTTACGGGGACCGAACGCTACATAATGCTCCCCACCAACCCAAGTCAGATAGTATTCGTAGACTTCAATCCCCAAAGTCCCCAAGTAGTTGTTCGTTCTTTGCTTGGAGTAGGGATGGAGGAATACCATGCCGTCTCCCTGTGAAGGGATTGAAGATGGCCGTGGCTTTCGCCGGCAACTCCACGGCTATT